AAAAATAAAAAGATTTTTTTTTTTTTTTTTTTTTAAAGACAGATGGTGCTGAGAAAAAGACAGTTCATTCTACATCTACAGTCCAAATTCTGCATATACTACTGCATTATAATTTATCACACTGGGTGTATCAACAAGGCAGACCTATAAATGATTTGTCTAATAATAATAATAATAATAATAATAATAAAAAATCATAATCCATTCTGTAAAGAGGAAAATGGAACTCTTGAATGATTGGGGGTACAGAGATTTCCTAATAATTCACAAACACAGATTTTTTTTTTTAAACCGAGTTTGAGTAAAAAATAGCTTTTACAAAAAAAAACAAAACAAAAAACAATCACTTTTTAGCCAGTGTATATAACAAACATCAAACCTTCCAGTTAACCTAATTGGCAGAAAGGAGAAACAGTTCATCCAGATCTTGTTCAAAACGGTAGAGAACAGAACACTGTCAACTGTTTATGAGCGAAAGTAATAAAAATGCTTCCCATCTACTGCAGAGGTCCATAATGGTCAGAGTGCAGAAAAAGGAGTAATTCATCACTTCAGGATGATCTCTTAGACCTTTTGAGGCGACGCAGTAAAAATTCCTCTGCCAATTTCATCAGCCAAGTGGAAAATTAGAGAATTGTCAGACTGCTTGCTAGATCTGTGATTAGACTCAGGGGCCAGCGTGGTGTGTGCCAAACTTGTACATTTCCACACAGATGTACACTTTTAGAGTTTATATTTCCTTCTAAAGAACATTATTCCTACTCAAAACCAGTGGTCTAAATCAGCATTACTTAGTTTTGGCCTGCAGAACCATGTCATTTGGTTTGTGGGGCTCCCTGTGGGTTCAGAAATTTGGTAGTGGGGGGAGCGGTGGCAGCATTAATTTCTGATTCCCTGCTACCAACTTTCTGGACCTGTTGGGAGACTCATGGGCCTGATAACATGGCTTTGCATACTAGATTGTGATGGTGTAAGGACAGACCAGCATATGGCTTTGACTCTGCAGCTATTTCCAAGCCTGTAAGCCAAGGGCACACAGTTGGTTTTGGGCATGCAGGATCAAGCCAGTATGTGGTCAGGCTGGTGTATGGGGCTGGGCTGGGCCTGGCTGGAGCTGGCAAACAGGATCAGGCTGGTATGCTGGATTGCACTGCACTTGCAGACTAATTTCACGTGCTGACCCCACACAGGATCTGGCTTGGGGACCAACCGCATGCCACTCCTCTGACTTGGGGGGCAAGAAGGTTGAGCACCACTACAGTAAGATTAGCACTTGCTTGTTATCAAATTCAGAACTTTCGCAACTACATTTCCATACAAAGTAAGAGTTTTATATTGTGAATTTATTCAGAAATGCATAATGAAAATGGTTTAAAGAAATAACTGTGGCCTGCAAATTGCTACAATGGTATCCAGTGGTCAAATTCTGCTTTTTCGTTACAATTCCAGAGACGGGTCACCTGGACAGAGCTGACTCACAATAAACCATATGTCTGCTAACTATGCTGAAATCTGTATTACTGGAGATGTAGAAGGTGGGAGGAGAAGAGGGAGCACATGTCCATTTCTAACTCTCCCATCCAAATCACTAAGTGCACTACTAGATATAGTCAATAGCTGAGAACTGCACAGTCTCTAAAACAGAACAAGTGCCAGGAAGATTACTTTCATATGTTCACCACACTTAGAACTGATTCTTTTAGAGTATAATGCTTTAGCTAGACATTGTTTTAGTTTGACCAAAGAATGTCAATTACCATGGATATCTGCAAGCATGCATATATTCCAACCTAATACCTGTTGCCACAAACAGTAAGAATCATGAAAGTAACTTCATTAGTCTGGATGTTGCCAAATCCATAAAACTTGAAAGGCTGAGGCAGAGTAGAGCTCTTTAAAGCAAACCAGATTTTGATGAAAGCAAGGACTAGCCAATATACTAAATTTATAAAGCTACAGTAGAACACTTTATTAAACTAAACCTGATTTTAATACTGCTATTTTATTTCTGCTTGTAATAATTCCTCAGTACTAGCATCTCCTGGAGAGTACCAAGGCATCTTTAGGAAGATTACAGTAAACTCCGTATCTCTGTTACACCTGGGCTTAATTCAATTCAACTGAAATCCTGCCTAGTACCACTTCTACAGAGAATGCCATTATATACATCTTGTGCATTCTGATTACAGAGAGCTTAGACAATTTGTTCAAAGATAAATATTATCCCCTTCCCAAACAGATGAAATTCAGGACCATGTCCAGTGCAGGAGTGGTCACACACAGCTCCCAAGTTGCACATAGCTTCCGGGCATTTTAAAGTCTTGTGAAAAACAACACCTAACACCAAATTCATAACTGCACTGAGATATCATGTGCAGATCACTGACTCTTAGGCATGCACATCTCAAAAGAAGTTTTGTGGTCTGCAGCTCTCAGCTGTATCCAATTTTGGTTTGCAGTGAGAAAAACTAAAAGGCTTAGTCACTTCTCGTCTACTGCATCTCAATACTGGCAAAGGCCTTAAGCCAAGGAAAGGATTTAAAATGGTTCTTCATCTTCTGAGAGAGTAACACTGTAATTGAGGATTGAATTACACAGTTCTCTCTTGGCAATATGTTCAGATTTTCAAGAAATTAGTCTGGAGTCACAGTAATAGAACTTATTCTGCACAGTCTAGGGTTCAACAGAGCCTCAGTCTTGTGTGTAGAGACCTGAAATCCCACATATTGTCCCCCTGTCTTCTAGGGAGAAGACCAGTTACAGATGGTTGGGATGAATGTCAAGCTGAAATTAACCCCATGTCCACAGGGGCCAAGGTACCGGTTCAGAATTTGTCTCACAAAAATAATCTCTTTCTATATTATATACTCAAACAGATCTACTGCAAATGCCAAATGAACACAACATGCTAATAATTCTAGAACATTAACATTTAGGTAAGTAAGCTGTCAAATCTTACCCCAGACAGAGATAAGAAATAAAAGCATTTTAAACAGGCTTCATTGCTTATTAAAAATATCCAAATGCTTACTACAAAAATACCTCATTAATTTTCTTAAGTTTCAGAAAGCAATTGATCTAAAGAAACAGACAAACAAGTTTCAGCATAGCAATATCTTTGAAGAAAAAGTAAATTTACCATCTTGTACACCTTGGGAGGGAGGGGTCTACAAGATGCATCACAAGAAAAGTGTTATTGCATTATACTTCCCATGCATTTTTTTTTCAAGCCACATATACCAGCATGTAATATAGCACAGTTGCTTAGTACTGCCCTACAAGAAAAAGAAAACTGGCTCACATCAACATCAAGGTCTTTCTCTTGGATTTATCTACAAGCCTACCTGCTTTTCTTTGCTGCACTAAGCCCCCTGCATAAAAATCCATTTTAAAATATTTTTCTTGACATAGCGCCCAAGAAAACACAATAATTCGGCAAGGTACAAACAGGGGCAGTGTTAGGGGGTGGATGGGGCACTATGGGGACCCAAAAATTCACCTTAGCACTGCCATAGCCACCCCTCCCAGTACCATCTCTGTTCAAAGCCCCCGCTTTCCCTGTAAGCTGCTGCTGCTCAACCCACGCAGCCGAGTCCACCCCATTACCACCTGCAGAGGCATGCTGCTCCAGGCCCAGCCTATGGGGCGCATGTCCTGCCTTTGTCTGCAAGCCACCACCCCTCCCCCCCTGCAATTTTCTGTCTAGCCCACCTCAGCCCCCATACTAGGGGCAGGCTGGAGCCACCCCTCACTACAAGTATCATTTGACCAACACCTTTCACAAGTTGCAAATGTACAGAATTTGACTTAATACATTATTTCATCCA